GGGAAGGAGACCAATTCACACCTAATACAATGACCGTTTCTAGACCGGGGATAGAGGGACTGTGGTCTTGTGTTATACAAGGTTAGTGCATTTAAGTTTGTTTGTTTTTCCATTTAAGTTGTGATAGATTATAACACAGCTCAGTTATGTAGTCCATAACGAAAATGTGGTGTATATGGCAGTGCTCAGATTTGCAATTTGCACATAAAAACCAATGGTATTCAATATTTGGGGCTGTCGTGTGTCACTCTCTCTCTCTCAAAAAAAACATGGAATAATGTACATATATTGCCTACTTTGTTCTAAAAACAAAATGATAACTCATCACGTAAATGTACATAGTAACATCAGTCTTCCTCCAGCTTTACACCAAGAAGTAATGTAGAAACAAGAGTTTATTGGTTGTATCTGATGTTATAATTAAAACACCCTTGTTGTCACACTACTTAGTGTTCAAACACTATGTATGAAATTCACTGTATGCAATTGTGGCACTTTTCATACCTGTATCACCTTAAAGGAAAGGTAAAGCCAACCAACATGATGACCTCTCAAGAAAAAACTCCACAAATGTAGGAGAATGCAATTTACAGTTTTTTTATATCACTTTTCATTCTCTAGATATTCAACTTTTCATCAGTATAATGTAGTCAGCCATCTTGATTCTTGGGTAAAGTATGACATCATAGAATCTGTTGTCAAAAATTGAGAAATGGAATTCATCTATAGCATGAGAAATACCGATACGAATTAGTTAAAATTTTCGTTGTGCATATTACTCATGGAAATAAAAATACACATAAAGTGACGATATTGCCAAAAACGTTAAAAAAATAAAAATCATTATTTTAGTCGTGAAATATATTTGGTAGAAGAACATAAAAATAAATATTTTCAGTTCTGTTCCCATGACAACTATTTTTGAACTACACGAACTACATAAATTGATGAAAAGTGATATAAAAAAACTGTAAATTGCATGTTCTTACATTTGCCGAACTCTTATCTGGTAGTGTTGACTTTCTTTAATATTAGGTCTGTAAACAACTGTACCTTGCGAGTTTAGTAAATAAGTTTTGTTTTCTTCACTTGTGAGAACATTACAAGAGCTTTTTTGTACTTTCTGTACATGCATGTGCTGTCCACTCACTCTGAATGTTCTTATAGATTATTGTTGTTAACCAAGTAGTCATTTGAAGATAGAATTTGTGAAGTGTTTGTAAACTATGGAAATGTCTACATTTAATCACGGGCAAACAAAGCAGCATAAATAACAAAATATGTGTTTCCTTGGCATCCATGCATACTGGGGAAACTCGTGCAAGTTAAGGTTATCACTATGGTACATACAATGTATGCATCCATTACTTAGATAAATGTGTTTCCTTGTTAAGTGTAAAGAGACAGATAAAACATCAGTGTATTGTTATAAGGCAAATCTGGAACTCTTGTATGAACCATTTTAGAGCATTTCTTGATGTACAGAAAGTTCCTCATTCAGGGGTTAATAGTGTAAGATATTTATTGTATTCACTGTATTGATGTGTAAAGTCAATAAAGTATTATAACTTGGATTATCATGCACCACCATTTCCTTAAGACAGCCCGACCCCCCATTATCACATATGCTACTAATTGGCTCAAGGCAGCACCACCACCTCATCATCACGCGTCACTATTGGCTCAAGGCAGCACCACCCCCATTATCACAT